AACCAAACGCCCTCCTAGCTGAATTAAAATCGGGTAATCCATGGTCTCTGCCCCTTTGTATATTAATAGCCATTAAATCTCTTCTGGGAAATTCCAGTGGTCCAAAGACGTTTCCTCTCAGATCTTCGACAATAGTGTGATCTTCCTTTTCCGACAGCTGTACCGACATGCCCATTAGAATTCTATCGATATCAATTAGAGTTGCATTATCATCAGTTTTTGTAAGCATTGGTTCTTGGGGTCTCCAAAAAATGTTGCAAGTTCTTATTGCATTTTTGTTCCAATTGTTAAACTTCGTGGTGCAATTCTCCCTTGTATAGCCTCGTAAATATACCTAAAGATCAGTTCAATGTTGTGACAATCATATGAAATTAAAATTTGAAGTGATTATGCCATTATATGATGAAAATCCATGTTAATAAATAAAAAAAAAAACATTGAAAAGTTTACACCACGCTAAGATCAAGCGGCTTGCTGTCGCTGATAGAATAAACCAACCATCCGATAGGTACTCATGTAACCGAGTCTGCTATAATTTGTAGCGTGTGCCGAAAATGACGTCACGCTTTCGAGAAAAGTCTTAAATTGCCTGCGTGCCAGTGGCATACTAAATTATGTGTTTTTAAGACTCAAATATATGTTGAATGTTTATTCAGCATTCTCCCCCTATGAAAGGAAGCTGGGGAAATTAGAACAATTAAAAAAAATTCGATTATACTATACACAAGAAAAAGAAAAAAAGAGAAAGTCTGTGAATATGTCGCATTGGCATCAGTGTAGACCTGCTGGCAGAAACGTCCCAAATCAGTTTCCTAGCCTTGTATTGATGACCTGATGTACCTTTGCTTACTTTTTGTGAAAAATAGTACATGTAAATTGACTTTATTTAACATAAGGCGAGCATAAATAAATAATTTAAATATAAGTGTTAAGACTACTTGAAATACAGAAGGTTGTAATGTGGGTATAGTGACCCGAGAGGGTCTTATGAGAAGATCACCCAATTAATATAAGAAACCGCATGCCATCGGAGAAGAACTTATTCTACCAGCTGCTAAACATCATGGTTGGTGATTATACTTTTAAAAGTAACCTTGGCCAATAACAAAATTAGTCGGAAAATTAATTGAAAAAATTAAAGGGTGGAATTTGAATTGCAGCTAGATGAAGCTACATACATTAATAAGGATTCACATTTGATATACTACGAATATGTACGGTTTATAGATGGTCATAATAAAAAAAAGACCTGCTAAAACAGTTTGAAAGCAAAAGTTGGCGACATGGAATTAACATTTTTTGTGGGCCACTCTATAATAGAAGTAAATTAATATACATACCCCTGGAACGACCAGAGTATGTCCAAATCTAAAAGCTGCTGCCTGGAAAAATTGATCTATCTGTGGATCTATACTCGCGTCATATTTTTTATAATCAGGTAGTTTTTTATTTAAATATTCCGGCAGCCAGTCATACATATACAGTCTCTGTTGAGTTGCTATGACCCATTTTCTTGCTTCGTTGTAGACTTTTTCGCTTGTCCAATCATCGTGATGATGGCGAATTCGGTTGGCCAGATAGTTATGCCATCTAAACCACATCACTCCAAATGTTAAGAGAAAAGCATTTTCATTGCCACGGGGATTACCTAGTTCTGGGAAATATAAATTATTTTAAATATACAATATTCACGACCGAAAGAATAGTAAGAATACCACAAGGAATCATTGTGGGTCTTATATTGTACCTGATGTATACCTGTGATAACTTAAACAAGGCATAATAGCTACATTTTCAGATGATACTGCCATCCTAGCGGTAGGCAAAGAGCATAAAGAATAAACTACAAACACCAGTTAATTAAATAAATAACTGGACCAAAATATGTGAATTTTTCATTAATTTGATGGGTGGCATATTAGCAGTGATATAATTTCTGCTGATACGACGTCCAGAATAGTCCCAGTGAGTTACCATGTCAACTATGGTAAGTGGGGTTCTCCTCATCTGTAAGTCAAACGGCACCCTCAATCATCTGTAATTCGCCAAATAACTCATGTTGTGTTAACCAAATGATTGTGTTAATAACAAAGTAGAGTATTGTGCGGTTTAGTGTTAACTTAGTGTAATTAAATCATCAGACCCTAAACCCTAAAGTATACTAGTGATAGAACCTGTTTTTAAAATTGCAACCTCAGTTAAGTTAGGAAAAAATTACTAAGTCAATTTTTGAAAAGATTGTAATACAAATATTAGTAAATGCACCTTATATGCGATATTTTTCTTAAAAGTTATTAAATGAATTTTTTCTGTAATTGAGATCTTTTCCTGTTGAACAATGAAAGTATGTTTTTTTAAATTACTTACTAAAAAATCTGTTGACTTTGGCAGTTTCGTGAGCTTTAACATAATCTGCATGGTAGAACGGAGGTGGGGGGTTAGCCATAGGTATTCTATCAATATTGTATTCTGGAAATAATCCATTATGTGAAAAAGCAAGCCTACCATCATTGTCCACTGTTCTATTGGAATATGTTCTCAGTTGATCTGACCATTGTTTAGTAATGCCATAAAACAAACCCCCATCAAGATACGGTGTTATTTCATTCAACTAAAACATATAATATATTTAAAAAATAACCCCTAACTCAACTATAGTTATTAAAATTATAAAATATAATAACTAGACTAAAACTAATGATGTGGTTTTCCGGGTCTTCCTAACCTGTAAGTGGCACCATCAATCATCTTTTAAGTCGCCCCGAAGCGCCACGGCAAATAATAATAGCCGTCCCTTCCCCACACAAGCTTAGTGAGTTTCAGGGGTTGAAATTCACTCATATGGGGGTGAATTAGGGAGAGTATTATTATTATTATAGAATCAAGAAATATAATGCTTGGTATTCTTTACAGTTTAACATACCTCCCCATTTTTAACCAATTAATAACCAACCCATGAAAGAAATGTAATTAATATAAAACTTTCATCAAAATACTTTCATGAGAAAAAAAAACATACTTTACAAAAAAACAAGTCAATGTTATAAATTACCGATACGCTTAGTACGCTAGTGCGTAGGGATCCGAGCATCAGGGGCCCCGCAGGGGCTCCATTTTATTACTTTTAATGGATAAAAAAACTCTAGCGAAAAGCAAATATGTTGTGAGGATTTTCTAATATAAAATTGTATTGATATGCGCGCCACTGGGGATACATCGCAATGTTATGTGTTTCGAGAATATTGAAAGCTTTAAATTTATGCAACGATAAGTCAGCACTCTGCAGAGACATTTAAGAAGAAAAGGTGGGAAACCCTCCCATTTAAAAATTACTAAATATTTACTTAAACAAAAAGCAGCAAATTTTCATAGATTTAATACAGGAATGGCACGTAAATATTTTTTGATTTTTTTTTTTTTTAATATACTTATTGAAGGTTCCCAAAAAAATCAAGGTTTCTCCACCCAAGTTTTGACAATAATTAAAAACAAATATAGAACTGTAAAAGAATTCAGGAATAAAGTCCAGAACACAGAGGAACAGAGCTCCAATATGGCATTGTCGAAGTATTGGTGGGCTAGAGAACAATTGGAAAACTGGAAAAAAAGATTCAATAAACCGAGTTGGGTTGAATCTTGTACTCAAATTAACAATTAGGTCGCTAGATGTATTGCGCTCCGGTGGTCTAAAGGTTATGACGTAGGGACGCCAATCTGCAAGTCGAATGTTGGAGCCCTGCTCAGAACGAATTTTTTTATGACAATTTTATTTTTTTTGTTTCTTATCGCTCCTCGGTTCTGATATTTTTTCTTGAATTCTTTCACTTGTCTTTGTTTCAGCAATTAAAGCAACAAATTTTCTCAAGATACTTCTTTCAGTTTACTGTATAAAACTGAATACATAATAATGAATGAATGGCTAATTAAGATTTACTTGTTGTCGAGGATTATTAGGGCTGTATCCAGTCCTCATATCATATCGAGTCCTAAGTAGTGGTAATTCAGAATGACCGGGATGCGTCCTGTATGTATGATTCTCTGGAACTGGAATATTAAAATATTCAGGTGGACAAGCTGGCCTCTGAGCATCCAAAATTTCTTCAACAACTTGTTGTCCTAATAAATAATACAATTAAAAATAAAATATGATTTTATAAAAGTTTATTACCAAAGAAAACAAGCAAGGCATTTTTTCCATTTTTTGACATTTGCCCTATGTCTCCACTTAAAAGTTCTTCACTAAGCTGTATTGGGTTCGGTCGGTCAAAACCTGAGGGTAAATAGGTACCATCTTGGTATGCAGCTGGCCACCTTCTTAAGAGTGGTCTGTCTAAATAGAAAATTATATTAATTTGTACAAACAAATCAAACCAGTAAACAAATGTTAGAAAAGGAACTGCCCAAGACAACACACCAAATCCCAGAGATATCCACAGAATATCTTTTGTGGATATCCAATATATCCACAGGATATCAGAAATATTCCGTGGATCTAATATGGATATCCAAATGTCCGTCTATATCCAGAATATAGAAGATATCCTAATGGATATCCAGTAAAATATCTAATGGGTATCTTCCAGAAAATACAAGAAATCCCAGAGATATCCACATAATATATTTTGTAGATATTCAATATATCCAATATGGATATCCAACCAAATGTCCGTCTATATCCCAGGATATAGGAGATATTCGGATATTCAGCAACATATTTTATCTTAAGTAGAGGTTCATAAGTAACCAATGATTATTGAATAACGTCGAAAGAAAATAGCAGAGATAAAAAATATTTTCAACACTCAAAATATTTTCAACACTCTGCCTTTGATTTTGCCCACTAAGGAGGAGAAAGTCATCCTTATTAGGACTCTTCAGCAATAAATGGAAGTTCTCGACTCCAGTCTCTAATGGAGTCTGTAGGACAAAAATTTCGATCAAACTCTATTACGGCGGGTCGAGCATGAGTAGATGCGATAGTGGTATCGCCATCTATACTTAGTAAGCAAAATCAAAAATTACATCTAGTGGATATCCACTATGGTTTGCGTTCGCGCCTAGACTTTGATATATTTAGTGGATGTCCATGGGATATTGAATACACCTTAAAAAAATTAATTTTAAATATCTGAACGGTACTATTAGCCACAATGGCGTAATTTTGTAATAATTTGCTATATAATTACTATTATTTATGGACATTTGCATGTCTATAAATTACATATCATGGATATAAAATAGATATCCACCATGGACTGAACATTCAGTGGATATTGGGATGTGCAGTAGATATCCAAAGGATTTGGTGTGCTATCTGGGTGCTTTCATAAAAATTACTATAAAATCAACATATAGTTTTTAAATAAATTTATTCAGATATGTAAGTACACCTTGTATGAAAGTTATAACACAATTGCAAACAATAAAACTGTAAGGCATTAGTTAATAGCTACATTTTTTAGATTTATATCTCTAAATAAAATATCAATAGAATCAGTTAAAACCTGTGGCTATAATCCATCTTTGATAAATTTAAAGAGACAATAAAATTATTTTTAATGATTCCTCTTGACCACTTTAAATATTTTTCCCAAAAACACAGTTTCTTAGATACAGCTTGTATCCTACATGTATCATCCTCTTTTATTTGGATACCTCAGTATACAATTATAATAATTAACAGCACAAACAGTCTTAGGTAATTTAAACTAGTTTCAACTAAATACATATATTTTTTGGTAATAGAATATCACAATGACAATTTACAAAGGTGTAGTAGACAACACAGACAAAATATAAATACATCCTGCACAACCCAATAAAAGTGTTACAATCGAAACTAATGGGTAATCATCTAAATCGCCTACCGGTACAAAAAGTTCCAAATCATCGAAGTGTGCATAATAAGTTAAATTTTTCCAGATACATACAGAGTTTGCTTTTTCATCACATGGGGCTTCAACTTTTAGTCCTTTCCCACAAATTATATTCAATGAATCAGGACACCATACTAATAAACTTGGCTTCCTTAAGGGTGCCTTTCCATAACCACCTGTAATCTGGCCCCTCTGGTACCGTAAATGAATTGGTAATGTGATAGTCATTCTATCAATTTCAGAATTATTTAAAAACATATAAACTGTATGATGTGTGGCTTCGTGTGCTGGAGCTTCTACATCTATCTTCCCTTCTATATAACCTCTGAGTTCCCCCATTCTATTAAGTTCAGCTAGTTCATCAGGATTTACGAACATACTGTTTGAAATTTCTAGTTTCAGTGCCAAGTTGCATTTTGACTGTATCCAAGTCTCTTTAGAAACGTCTGCTGTTTCTAATAACCACCATATATCCCTATGAAAACCTTCTTGTTCTATTTTTTGTGTTATTGAAGTTTTTAATTTAAAACATTCCTGTTGACAATTTACTGTACAAGTAACTGAAATTATAATAAATAATAGTTTCATTAAACTTCTCATTTTTATTATCAACTCATTTCAATTTCGTAAAGATTTTCATTGAGTGTTTTAATTATTAATTAGTTTTCAATATTATTTATTATTATAAAGTAAAAAGTAAGGTTATAGTTAGTTAACATTAGTCAATGATATATACTATTATATAGATTGCTCATTCATATATGAATAGACGACGAAAAATGGATTTCACTGGGTGAAATTTTCTCTTTATCTAACACATGCAATGTTTATGTTTTGTCTCAATTGTCTGTACTCACCCTTGTAATATAATGAACAATTATTTTACAGAGCCGGTTTAGAATTAAGTTCTTCTGCTCATTAAAATGTTTAGATTTTATTGTTAATTAAAACTATTTAATGGTGTTACTATGAAATTGTCCAATTTGACAAAAACTATCATGGTCCAACACAACGGCACTGTCAATTTTCAGGGGTATGTGAAAATCATCATTTGATGAGCACAAGACTAGAGTTTAGCCGTGTGTAAAAACGCCCTTAATTATTTTACAGATAAATTAAAAAAACCATAGGCGTATGTCACCAAAAGACGCGTCAAATTTAAATAAAAGCACTTACCAATAGCTCCAGAGTCGGGTCTAGCTAAATTATTGTACCAGCCATCATATCCTGGATATTCAAATACTCTGTTATGAGATGGTGGTCTGAAATTTGAGCTCCAATTGCCATTTAAAAGCCAATCCGCAAAAAGCGTTCTATTATTATTACCACCATTGTACTCGCCAGGCCAATTTTCTGGTTTTCTCGAATAATTTGGAGTTGTGTTGGAAACAGAATTGTTATTAGCTGGAGGCATATTTTGCGACACATTTTGTTGGGAGGAGGCTGGCAAGAAACAGTTAATAAAAATAAATTGGAAGAGCTATAGCCTTAAAATATTTTATTTCAAATAATTATTAACCTCTTGGAACTAGGTTTTATAATCGAAATTTCGGCTCCTTTCTTATTTTCGGTCGAAACAGAAACTTTCTTTTTAGGTAATTTCTTATTGAAATGTGCAATAACTAATTGTAATCCTAGTTGTAGACTAATTAACGCAAATTGTAAATTTTAGCTACACTTATTACCTATTTATTTATGTGAACAAAAAGCCATTAATTAATTTATTGATAGTGTTTTATTATACTCTTCACACAATAGTCTGAGAAGTATGCGTTTAGTTCCGTCAGTCCGAAAAGTCAAAAACGAAAAATATTAACTTGAAATTTTTAGGAAACATCAAGCTCTATAAGGGGACGAAGTCTATTGATTTTGAAAAAGTCTAATTACAATTGGGGATGTTAAGGGGGCTGAAATTAAAAAAATATAAATCAAAAAACGAAAATCGACACCAACATGAATTTTTTTTTAAATCTCTATAAGAAGATATGAGGCCTATTGAATCTGAAAAAAATTGGATAGGTTGGGGAAGGGTTAAAATATTAAAAAAAATCCTAATAACTCATAAACAAAAAATTATAAAATCAAGCTCTATAAGGGGAAGAAGCTCTTTGATTTAGAAAAAATCTGATTAAAAATGTGGAGGTTTAGAGGAGGTTGAAATTAAAAAAAAATCATAAATCAAATACGAAAAGCGATATCAACATGAAATTTTTAGTAAAAATCAAGCTCTATAAGGAGATGAAGCTTATTGATTCAGAAAAAAAAATTAAATAAAAATGAGCGGTTAAGAGGAGTTGAAATATTGAAAAAAATCCTAACTTAAAAACGAACGATAATATCAACTTGAAATTTTTGGCAAAAATGAAGCTCTATAAGGGGATAAAGGCTATAATTGATTATAAAAAATCTGAATAAAAGGGAGGTTGAAATAAAAAAATCAAAAGCGATATATCAACATGAAATGTTTAGTAAAAATCAAGCTCTATCAGGGAATGAATAAATAAAAAATTGGGAGATAAAGTGGGGGTTGAAATATTGAAAAACATCTGAACTCAAAAACAAAATCAAATTGAAATTTTTAGAAAAAATCAAGCTTTATATCCGTCCCGATTTAGGCGCGACAGTCCCGATTTTAAACCATAAGTCCCGATTAAATTTTTTTTGAAATAAAGCATCTGCAGCACCCTTTTGTTGATAGGAACTATTTGTCATATTTATAGGAATCACCCCACGAGCGATGGCACATGTTTTTTGAAACACCCTGTATACATATACCCAAGAATATGCGTTTATGTTAAGTCTAGAATATTACTCAAACCCAGTTGGATATGGTATTGAATAAATAAAAAAACTATTAATTAAAGATATTAAAGACACATTTTAAGAACATACAAAATGAAGAACGTTTATTTAATCATATAAATTTTGATAAATGTTCAATAACATTTAAGTCATAATTAACTATTTACTGACTGTACTTTTCATATTAAACAATTAATTTTACTATTACATAAAAAAATTAAGTTTTGCATACCTGTGGTAATAAAACTACCAAACACTCCTAAAAAGAATGATAAGAAATTCATTATTAGTAACAAATCATTCCAGCTCTTTTGATTGTGGATGTTACTATGATAAATTATTTTTTAACAGTTAACTCTTATGATGGGAGGAAGCCACACTGATAATTTAATCTACCACACGAAAGATCAATTCAGTAAAATGTAATTCCCGGACACAAATGTATAATGAAATACAGGAAGCATAGAGATAGGTATTCAAATTTAGTATCAAATATTTTTATTTTATATTTTTTATATCGCTTTTTCTAAAGGGTGAAACAAAACAAAAAAAAATAAATAAATCATTTATTACAATGAATAACAAAATAAAAATTATTTTTTTCAGTTAATAACAAAATTTAAATATTAAGTGTAACAGATAATTCATTTTTTAGTACCTCTTTGTACTTCTGTAAAATAGGTTGAACTTCCTCTGCTAAAAATTCAGTTACTTGTTCAGAAGCTCTTCCAATATAAGTGCTGGGATCTAGCAATCCATCTAACTCAGCCAAAATAGGTTTAAAATAAGGATCTGCTCTAACCCTATCAAGAAAATCATTATCTTTGCCATGCTGCTTTACCTGTGCTCCAGCTTCATGAGATAGTACTCTTATTTTTTCATGGCAAATTTGTCTGTCCCCACCTTTTTTAACCATAGCCATAATCAAATTTTCAGCAGACATAAATGGTAATTCTTGGTTTATTCTCTTCTCTATAACTTTGGGATACACCACAAGACCCTGTGTTATGTTTGTAAGTACCATTAAAACAGCATCTGCACTTAAGAAAGCTTCAGATAGGGTCAGCCTCTTGTTTGCTGAATCATCTAGGGTCCTCTCTAACCACTGAACAGAATGGGTATTGGCAGCATTTGAAAACAAAGCTATAAGGTGTCTTGATATGGCACAGCATCTCTCTGATCTCATTGGATTTCTCTTATAAGGCATGGCAGAGCTGCCTATTTGGCTTGCTTCAAAGGGCTCTTCCATTTCTTTAAAGTTAGCTAATAATCTAAGGTCACTACACATCTTATGAATAGATGAACCCAAAGATGAGAGGGTGGCAACAATTTCTAAATCAACTTTTCTTGAATAAGTTTGTCCAGTTACTGGGTAAGTCTTATTAAAACCAGACAGTTCAGCTACACATTGATCTAAAGCACGCACTTTGCTGCTGTCATTCAACAGCTGCATGAAGGAAGCTTGAGTACCAGTTGTTCCTTTTACACCTCGAAATCTAAGATCTTCCCTAGCCCTAGTCAAGGCTCTTTCATCCATTAGAAAATCATACAGCCAAAGAGTGGCCCTCTTACCGACAGTAGTCAACTGAGCAGGTTGCAGATGGGTGTATCCTAAGGCAGGAAGTGACTTATACTGGTCTGCAAACCTTGCTAGATTTTGAATCACAGTTGCAACTCTAGGAATTAGTAAGTCTAAACCATCTCTAAGAATAATCAGATCAGTATTATCACCAACGAAACATGAAGTAGCTCCTAAATGAATAATCGGTGCAGCAAGGGGACACTGCTTTGCAAAAACATGCACATGAGCCATTACATCATGCCTGGTTAATCGTTCTTCATTTGCGGCATCGTCAAAATTTATATTATAAATATTATTTTCCATTTCTTGTATTTGTTCATCTGTGATATTTAAACCCATCTCTTTCTCGGCTTTCGCTAGGTTTATCCACAGTTTCCTCCATGTTGAAAACTTCTTTTGGTCACTAAAATTATACTGCATTTCTTTACTGGCATAGCGAGTACTTAAGGGTGATCTGTAATTAGCGTAAGGACTGCTGTAATCAATTGATTCACTCATTTTTTATAATTTGGCAAATTTATAGAGTAATTTGAATAAACTACACTCGATTTTGTACACTTTATATAAAAGGACGGTCTCAGCAATTCAACTTATTCAACTGCAAAAAATGCTGTGTGCAATGCTTTTTTAATTGGGTGTAGATAATATTGTTTTTCCATTTGACCTTTACATAACCTCACAATTGCGTTCGTTGATGAAGATTATTTATTTTCAGTTATTTGTTGAAGAAAAATTTCATAAGATTTTGTCGCTTTTGTAATATTACTAATCGGAATATTGTATAGGTATAGATTAAACTTCATGAGATTTATTATTATGTAAGAAAAATTAAAAAATATAAATAAGATAAACAGATTTTGTAGTCATTTAAACCAGAAACCAGTAGTGTCATCTATTATCATCTATTGGTACTATTGGCTGTATTTTGGTAATAAATATAAATGAATTCAGAAGATTTCAATAAATCTGCGCGGCATCTTAAATTCGAATACAGAAGATGGCGCTAACATACACATTTTAATGCAAATAATAAAATAATATTTTTGAGTGTTTACACTGGACTAAACAACTGCCAGACATAAATATCATTCAATAAATGTCATCTAAATTCATCTTTTTTAGCACTATTATTAGAAATTGATTTGAAAACGTCAAAATTATCTTGTTAAAATATCAAATGACATTACTCCCCTCAATGTAATAATTGACTGTTCCGCCTACTGAGAGGCGTTGACAATTTAATAATTTTAAAATCTTTTAATTATTATTCATTCCTTTCCAGTTGTTAAAAAATCTTTCTAACATTTTACGCCAATGGAACATTTATCGACTTTAAAATTTCCAAGAATTTACTGAGCACACTATTTATATACCGAATTATCGTAGGAGCCCAGCGTGAGTTATAATAACTCACTATTAAAACTCACGCTATTTGTTTATTGATACTATCATTGTATAATATTTATACAATGATACTATTAATTGCTCAAAAGCAGTTGAATAATTAATATATAAATTAATAGAAGTAGATAAAAATCTTTTAAACCTCTTAATATTATTTGAATAAATTGAAACTCGATATGTTTACAAAATAACTAACATAATCTCGTGTTTTGAAGTAAACTTTTTTTTGTTCTTAATATTTAAATGCTAAAATTTAGTTTTAAAACACATTTGGGCCAGAACGGTTCTGTTCAGTAACTAATCATTAAAAAATGATACCGGCAGTGCCATCTATTATCTATTGGTAATAAATACAAATGCGAAGATTTCAATAAATCTGCCAGAATCTTAAATTCGTACACGAAAGATGGCGCTAATATACAAATTTGAATGAAAATGTAAATGTAAATAAAGTTTATAGTGTATATAAACAAAAATACTAGGTGTTTAAACTAACCGGAAAATACTTATTTTTAGCTTTAATTTATACCCAACGAGATATAATGAACTGATTCATGTAAATATTACGTAAATAAATTTTCTATAAGTTATGTTGAAGTAAGTGGATTTAGACAATTTAAAATTTTAGGTTATTTGCTTTAGTACCTAATATTTAAAGAAAAGCTTTATTTTAGGCATTAGGCTCGCTTTGTATTGTAACATTCTTTCGCAAACCTGTAAACTGCTGCAATGGCTTATTTAAAATAATTACTATAAAATCCCTCAAGAGGAATGAAGCTTATACTGCTACTACTAATGGTATGATTATGATTGAATCTTCATAGCAATTTGGTTTGGTAAATGTATTATGAGCGTAAAAGATACATAATCTGTTCTGCATTGTTCTATGACACTGCTATATTTTATCTGATACCAGTCACTTTTATTTTCCAACTAATAATATTAATATCTCATTTTAAGCATGTATACAAAGTACTCTGTGATGTGGACATTTAATTTGATGGTTTTAATACTCAATATTGAAATTGTAATTTCAAGAAATGATCCTAAAAACGACCCAAGAAGCAATGGAGATCTGGCACTTTGGATCGATGAAAAACAAGTTAAAATGTTCAGTGGTATCTATACATCTATACAATTATCCTATTGATTTTATATATTTTTTTAAACATTTTAGGCATGTCCATGGAGATCTATGCCATAGTGAATGGGAATGTTCTGCCATACATTTTGGATCCAAATTTTGAAAAGTACCTTCCAGTTATTCCATCTGAAGTTAGCTATGTAAATTTCACATGGAAAGCTGGGAATAAAAAATATTACTATCATTTTGATAGACTTCAATCTTATGATGAAAGTATTCTTGAGGCACCGGTAATATCAATAAAAACTAAAGGAAGAGTACCCAGGCGCCCTAAAGAATTCAGTATATTTTTGCCTTGCTTAGGAAACAGCTCTGGAATTGCCAAATTTGGCATAGGACTTCTTATTGAAAGCAGAAAAGGGAAGCCATTAAATGGGACACCCTTAAGACTAAAACTAAAAAAGGAGTGTGCACAAAGAAGTAAGAATTCTTTCAAAATAAATAATAATGTTTTATTTATTGTTTCGGCCTTTACTTGATGAAAATCCATATTATCTTGAATGAGTAAAACCAAATTTGGTAGATTTTCACAAAACTTTTATTTTAAAAAATTAAAAACACTACACATGACATGTTTCGAAGTACAACTTCTTTTTCAAATGTGACTAATTTACAATTCGGTGTCCAATATATATGTGAAGTAATTTAACAAAACAAAGTAATTAAGAAAATACATCAATAACATAACAAAATAAACTGACTATTTAAAGTAAATAAGGGTACTTAAGTAATTATGATATCAATCAGATAACAATAAGATTACATTACCTGGATTATCTCACAGAAAACTAGGAAAGAGATTTAATAAAGGTGAGTTATTAATATCTAATTGATCATTTAGTAGGTTATCTGAATTTTTAAATCTATTTATTTCAAGTGTTTCTAAATGGTTTAGTTTAATGCCCTTATTTTCTATATGTAAAATTTCAAAGTTGTCTGTAAAATAATGATTTTCAGCTAAAATATGATTTGAGTAAGTAGAATTATTTTTGTTTTTTGTATAGCTATTATAATGTTCGGAATAGCGCTTTTTGAAAGTACGGCCTGTTTGACCAATATACAATTTTGGACAACTACCACAATTTAATTTATATACCCCGATTTATTATTAGGATGATATCATTTTCACTTGTGCTGATAAGGGAAATACAGTAATTGCTATTAATAATATAGATTATATTGACAAAACTCTTTCATTTTTACAAGCAAGCAATAATTATAGCATACTTAAATTTGATCCAACAGATAAATATCAAAAAGAACTAAAACGTAATATTCAGGATTCAACAGCAATTTTTGATTCTAGAGAAAAATTCAAACTAATACAAATGAACCCTCAACCACCACAACTTTATTCTTTAATAAAATTACACAAAGAGAACTATCCTATTAGACCAGTTGTGTCATTTGTCACGGCTCCATCAGTTAAACTTTCACATACATTAATTAAACTTATACAAGAAAACTGCAAATTCCATTCAAAGTACAGAATAAAAAAATTCTTTTGAATTAACAGAAAAATTAAAAAACATTAAATTACCTAGTAACACAAAATTAGTATCATTTGATGTAACAAACTTATTTCCTAGTTTACCTCCTAAAGAAACAGTTAAACTAGTAGAAAACTTATTAGATTGTAATATTATAATCAAAGAAGAAATTCTAAATTTGTTAAACATTTGCCTAAAACAAAATTATTTTCAATTTCAAAATAACATCTACTCAGCAAATGAAGGTCTTATTATAGGGAACCCATTAAGCCCGTTGCTATTGCTATTCAACAAGTTTATCCCATAATTAAAGATCAAAATTGCAGATATAAGACTCTTACATATATAGGAGCTCCTAGTGAAAAGGTATCATCATATTTAAAAAACCAAAATGACGTAGCTTTTAAAACCAATAATACGCTTGGGAAGTATATTAAAAACAATAAGGGTAAAATTAATCCTAATAATAAATCGGGGGTATATAAATTAAATTGTGGTAGTTGTCCAAAATTGTATATTGGTCAAACAGGCCGTACTTTCAAAAAGCGCTATTCCGAACATTATAATAGCTATACAAAAAACAAAAATAATTCTACTTACTCAAATCATATTTTAGCTGAAAATCATTCTTTTACAGACAACTTTGAAATTTTACATATAGAAAATAAGGGCATTAAACTAAACCATTTAGAAACACTTGAAATAAATAGATTTAAAAATTCAGATTACCTACTAAATGATCAATTAGATATTAATAACTCACCTTTATTAAATCTCTTTCCTAGTTTTCTGCGAGATAATCCCGGTAATGATACTACCTTATTGTTATCTGATTGATATCATAATTACTTAAGTACCCTTATTTACTTTAAATAGTCAGTTTATTTTGTTATGTTATTGATGTATTTTCTTAATTATTTTGTTTTGTTAAATTACTTCGCATATATTGGACACCGAATTGTAAATTAGTCACATTTGAAAAAGAAGTTGTACTTCGAAACATGTCATGTGTAGTGTTTTTAATTTTTTTAAATAAAAGTTTTGTGAAAATCTACCAAATTTGGATTTACTCATTCAAAATAATAATGTACTCTGAAAAGTACTACTTGTATTTTTTCATTTAAGATCCAGATCCAGAATGCGACAAAAAATGTGCAAATCAAGGTAGATGTAATCATGAAAAGATTTGTCAGTGCCCTGAAGGTTATATGGGACCTTATTGCCGTACCGCATTATGTTACCCACAATGTATGAATGGAGGTAATTGTACCTCACCTGGAATATGTAGTTGTCCTCCTGGATTTCAAGGAAGACATTGTGAAGGAGGTAAAATATTGAATATTTTCAAAGTTCAGAATTTAAAAAAAAAACTTTAAAAATGTTTTAGGTATTTGTGGTGAGAAATGCCTGAATGGGGGCAAATGTATTCAAAAAGATACTTGTGAATGTTCCAAGGGTTATTATGGCCCCCATTGTGAATATTGTGAGTAATTTTACTTCAGTAATACTTTTATAAATAAGTTAAGATTAATACATGCTTAATCAGTGAAAATGTATCAGTAGGCAAGAGAGTGTTATCATTGTTTTGATTAGTTGTTTTGACTCACTTTAAAATATTCCTAGAATCGATATTGGCAATTATACAGGGTGACAATTTAAAAAATGACAATGGATATATAAGGAGTGAACCACAAAAAAAAAATGTTTCTAAAGTAGGCTTTGGAAAAATTCACGCATTTTGTAGCTTACAATTCTTCTTTTTCCGTGTAAAATTAAAGACGTCGGAATTAAAAAAAAAAAAATAATTTTATATTGCGTCGCCGGAGGTGTCAAGAGTGCCAAGCCATAAAATCATAATTTCAAGAAAATCGCTTGTAAAAGATTGTGAGAGAAAATTTTAACATTTTTATGGTAAATTTTCTTGTTTTCAAAGATAGAATGTTGAAATTTTGAATACAGATAGATCTTGATATTTTCTTTTTATTGCTTTAAGAAAAATTTCAAAAAACTGATTTTACTTTTGAAAATATGTGTGTTACACCTTTTGACCACTAAGAAATTAAATGTACTTTGCATTACATGTACGATTTTCAAAGAGTCAACTGTCCTATGCTTGTTGACAACTCTGAAAACAGTATTATTTGTGGATTAGCTCTAAATGAAGTCGTCTATGATGCTTTATTTCAGAGTAACTTCACAGCTTTGTTTGGAGTAAAAAATCTACTTTTTGTCTAACTCTCAAAAACATTTTTTTATCAATCCATATTAATGTTATTTATATTTTTGAACACACTTATTTTGAGCACTTTTTGTATTGCTTCTTTTTAAAGCCTGCATTAAAACCGAATTTATTTATTTCTGGATTTTGGCTGATTTTTGCTGATTTTTTCACCAAATTTTTTGCAAAGATTAACCAGCAATACTGCTCAAAAAAAAGTTTACATTTAAAAATATTTAATTCGGATAGACATGCCATCTTCTTTTTAAATAGTTTTTTGATTATTCTGTACTGTTGAATCATCCTGTATAGGACATATATCGGTGGAAAGCATTTTTATTAGCTTTCTAATGATGACAAGTAGGGGTTGCTATTTTTTTTAAAGATTTAAAATGTATGAGTAAAGTAGTATGAAGTGGGAAAGTAAAGATGAAATGTGTTTTTAGCGCGGTGTATTATACCTTGTTTGAACGGAGGAAAATGTAAGGCAGTCAACAAATGTCGTTGTCCAAGAGGCTTCAGAGGCGATCACTGTGAGATAGGTAGAGCTAAACCAGCAAGAAGTAACTGCCAGTTAGCTTGTAAACATGGTACTTGCGTTGATGACGCGTGTTCCTGTGATCCTGGATGGTATGGCCGATTATGTCATCACAGTAAGTCATTAAATAATTAAAAATACCAAACGTATTTCTTGTCCTTAGTTGCTAACCCTAGCTGTCTTAAGTCAGACCATTAATCTTCCACAGATATTATATTTTTATCCTATTTTTGTTATTTTTAGTGATCATGTGAAGTTACTGGAGACAGGAGGCTAAATTACAATTATCTAAAATTGTTTCAAGTGACAGCTACTTCCGTTATTGTGCTATTAATAATATATTTGTTTACCTTACATGCTGGTAAAAATCGACTTAACAGCTTGTTAATAAAATAATTTAAGGATTGTAATGTTTAGCTCGTTTTCTTAAATATTTCTTTTGATTATTTAAAATCAAAATTGAAGAAAAAGTTTTGAACATTATGCCTTATTCGCATTAATTTTTTTATATTTTTTTATTTACAATGTTTTTACAAGCTCTAAAATCCAAAGCATTTAACATTAGTATTTTGTGCCAAAATATTTTTGTATAAATTTTTAGAAATATTTATCTGATTTTGTGTGATATGAAAAGTGTAGGTAGGTACTTAAGTAATATTTTGAGAAAGTTAAAATTTTAATGAATTTGATAATAAATGTTTAAATAAAACGTTTTTGTTTGTCTTTTTATTTATAAGCCCAAGTAAAACAAATTTGACTGTCGCGGTGGTCTAATTGGTAAAGGTGCTGAGGACTACACTAAGGACCCAGGTTCGATCTCTGGTCGGTATACTAATTTTTTCTTTAATTTATTTTTCAGCTTTTGAATATTTTTTGGTTTGTTTTCACTTTGGGGATTTGGGAATAGATAAATTCATTAATTTCGAAGGAGAGTTTATATTTTCACATTTAAGAAATAAATAATATTGAGTCCAATGTTTCTTAAGTGTCTACGTCAAACATACTGTTTAATTTAACAAGTTCTAACTGAATTTTTTTGGGGCTGCCACCCCCACCATCTCATTCTATAGGATTTGGTGAGAATAAGATTTTTGTACAAGAATGTTGTAAAATATAGATGTCTTGTAAATATGTCAAAAATTATATTTTTTTCTCCTCTATAACTATTTTTAAAGCTTCGATCCACATCTGAATTATGAGAGTACAGATCGAACATTTTCAGTCAAAAAAATTGTTTAGAAAAATTTTATAAAAAAAATGTTACGTATTTTAAAATCTGAAGTGACATTTCATTTAAAGGCTAATTTTATAAGTAATTTAATGCGTAGTGTGACGATAGTCTAATTTATTTATTTAAAACACACTATTTACAATTTATTTCAGAAGTAATAATTAATTTATATAATACTTAGACACTAACTAACAATTCTAATTTATTTATTGCACCAACTTTTCATTGCTATGCTCTAAACTAAACTGTGCGCCGATAAGTCGGCTATTTATACAAAGCCAATTCTGTGCTCGTAGTTTCTAGTAGACCTAAAATTCCATCTCTATGACTCAACGGCAGTTTCTCGAAGCATCAGCGGCATACCTAGAGATTCGGTCGTTTCTTGTATATTCGAGACGCGGTCCGACTGTTTTCACACGTCAGCGTTGCTTCTATCATGAATCGAGTGGCGGACCTCCAAGGTCGCTCGCTTTAGAGTTTAGACAGAGACGGCTTAGGAATTTTCATGACAGTAGCATAAATTTGTTATTTTAGTTAATTGCGATTAAAGTTTAGCTCTGCATAGCTTTTCAATTATTTAAGTTCACATTTCATTAAATTTTTTGTTATATTGTGAATTAAATTAGTAATAAAATTAGCTTTCACATGAAGTGTCTCACTTTATAATACATAACAGTTTTTTATCCTGCTAGAGAGCGCTAAAATCAAAGGTAACGCAATGAATAGTCATAAAATTACCTTTAAAATGATGTGCCACTTGATTCCCCTTCCTATTTGGGATTCTAGGGGCTGAACCACGAGGGTTGAAAATATTTATTAAAAGTGAAAATAAAATTGTCCTTCCAATTTTTTTATATTATTTACAGGAAGGAAGATATTAAAGGTAGGAAGTTTTCTACACTTTCCTTATTGGATACAGTAAAGTAAAAACATAATTTTCCCCAATATGTTGTTGTAGACATTATTTGATCTATCCTGGTATATTATGTTTGATATGTGTATAATGCTATAGAGGCGTCCGAATTTCAATCTTTTATTGGCGCCTATTGTATTTTTCTTTTCCAACAGTCCCATTTCGTTCGAAATTTCCCTTTCATTCGTATAAAGGCTGTTTAAACAAGACTTCTACCGATTTGTCAAGTATTTTTAATTTTACATACAAAAATAATCAAATTTTATACCTATCTAAATTTAGAGGGAGACATCCTTGATCAAATTTAAACATTTTCGATGATTTGGAATGATTACATTTCAGTTTCCTAGTACATACATATTACAAACACAGAATGAGAATAGAACTCTAAAATCTAATTACACTAACATGTTTAAAAATAGGTTGTAGTTTTAACAAGTTTATTTTTAGAAAATATTTCGGTTACTCTAACTGCTAAAAAAAAGGAGTCAAGGATGCTGTGTTCAAAAAGATATCAGCTAATTAGGCAATCCAAGGTATTGTCAAAAAAGTCCAATATGACCGACGATTGGGAACCTGTGACAAACTTTGATCATATATTATCGTACCCGTATTCCGAAAATCACCAAAAATTCGTATGATTTCGGCAATGTCGCCGAAACTGAACGGTACTATTAGCCACAATGGCGAGCATGGCGTAATTTTTTAATAATTTGCTATATAATTACTATTATTTATGGACATTTTCATGTGTATAATTACATCTCATGGATATAAAATAGATATCCACCATGGACTGGACATTCAGTGGATATTGGGATGTCCAGCATATATCCAAAGGTTTTGGTGTGCTGTCTGGGGATGCTTTAAAAAACATTAAACCTAAACGTACCACAGGACCGAATCATATTCCTGCGTTCATTTTAATAGACTGTTCAGCAGTATTAAGCTTGCCCTCTATTTTGATAAATATCTGCCTTAAATCCAATACAATTCCTTCGATGTGGAAATGTTCTAAAGTCTGCCCAATTTTTAAAAAAACGCGAACGAACTGATATCAAAAATTATAGGCCGATTTCTATCATTTGCAATTTATGCAAAATTCTCGAAATATTACTAGAACGTAGTATTTATCAACATGTTTGTAACGCAATCTCAGCTCAGCAACATGGTTTTGTTAAAGGGCGTTCCAAAGTAACAAATCTTTCTGTGATCACACAGCAAATTGCTGAAAATATTCAAAATCGAGTTCAAACTGACGTCATCTATACGGATATAACAGAAGCATTTGATAGACTTGATCATTATTATGATACAGAAACTTTGCGTATTTGGTCTTTCTAATAGTTTGATCACACTCTTTTAATCGTATCTCTCTCAAAGAACACAATATGTTCAATTAAATGGATTCAAGTCTAACAAATATTGTGCCGCCTCTGGTATACTGCAAGGTTCAAATTTGGGTTCGCTGTTATTTAATATTTCTATCAACGACATTGGAGACGCTATAAATGTTGATTATTTGCTGTATACTGATGACTTAAAAATATATTCAGCTATTGAAAATATTTCTGACTGAACAGTTGTCGGAAAATTTGAACAAAGTTGCTGAATGGTGCAACAAAAATGGCTTTACACTGAATCCCGTCAAATGTACACATTAAAAGCGCATCCAATTATATTCGATTATGTCCTTAATGGACGTTTGATTTCTAGACCCAACAATTTTATGGATTTAGGGGTTACATTTGACCCAGTATTGTCGTTTAAATACCACATAGATAACATTTCAACAGCAGCAAACTGTATGTATGGATTCATAGTACGAGTGGGCCGTGATTTTAAAAACACAGATACTATTAAATCATTGTATTTCTCATTTGTTCGATCTAAACTCGAATATGCCTCGTTTATTTGGGATGCTTATTATCAAATACACATTTGTCGGATAGAGTCCATACAAAGGTGTTTCCTTAAATACCTAAGTTTTCGAGCAGACCAAATTTATCCACCGATTGGTATTACTCAAAATGCTTTACTGACTAGACACAGATTGACAAGTCTCGACTCGACGTAAGACGGAAGTACTTCTCCATAATTACCCTCTACAAAGTTGTTAATTTTAAAATAAATTGTGAAGCTCTTTTACATATGCTTAAGTTTAGAATCCCCCGCGCAACCTCTCGAAACACCGAATCATTTTACATTGCAACTCCTCCGACAAACGTTCTGAAGTTTTCACCTGTATATAACATGTGTAATAATTATAATAATAATATTAGTGAACAGTTGGATATATTTAACTGCAATGTTAAAAACATAAAAACACATTGTTTAAAATAATTTAGAATTTATTTACTGTAATTTTAGTTTGATTATCTATATGCATTTTTTCTTCCAAATGTACTCCTGTTCTGTAATTGGGTTTAACCTGTTGAACAATGTATAAATAAAAAAAATAAAAATAAAATAATATTATGATATTAAGATATTAATTAATTCTTGAATAATTTACTTGTACATATTAAAGACCCGATAACTATAAACTTAAATGGATCAAAACCCATTTCCTTATTTTGAAATAAGAGATAGATAGGGTATGATTCCTAAATCTCCATCTGAATTGCAGCTTCCTATAATGTATTCAAATGATTTCGTTTTCTCAACGTCATAATTTCCATGCCAGTTCCGGCAAATTTGGAAACTTCCCGAGTTTGCTGATTTCCACGGCGATAATGCCATTGAGTCTGGCGAAATACAGACTTAAAAGGAAACTGAAATATATATCAAACCACAAATATCGCCGGTGAATAAAAGGTCTTCTTTACTGAGATTCTTATTTTATAAAATAGAAAATACTTTTATTTAATTTTACTTGAGAATATGAATAATAAATAGGAAACAAATTTTAAAATCTATATTTTACAATAATAGGTAAATAGTGTACTAGCATGACATCTCGTACATGGAGTTTCTCTATTATTCAAAAAAACTTAGAACTTGATTAGTATATCGGACTGTTGAAAGCAAATGACACCAGTCCGACACTGGAAACAGTTTATTTAGCAAAGAAATTAAATACACTATACGTGCAAAAAGTTTTCATATCATGAAAAGTTTAAGTTTCCTTTATTGTTAAAGTTACAAAGCAAAAATATTTGAGCGCTTAGATGAGAAGGCATTCCTAAGGGATAACTAAACCACAGTAACTAAACTTCCGTGCATTAGTTCTGCTGTTTTGAACTTTTAAAATTCTGAGCTGGATACCTACTTGAAATCGCTCACCTCTAAACTTTTAAACGTCGAGTTAAAGGTTGCTTTTTTCTTCATAAATAAATAATAAATAAAAATACACAAATACCAAATTTTTCTAATATTTTTAAAAATAATTACAAAGTAATTTTTAATATACATATAAACAAAAACTGTGAATAATATGTAAGAAAAAGTACAATAAATGTAAGATAAGCTGGGGTAAATGCAACAGGTTCTTCGAATAGTTACATTTCATAGGTATCTT